TAGTAAATATGTAGCTAGCATATTTGTATATTCCGTGTGTATGCAGTACTGTACGTATGTATGTCAGGTCATGTAACATTTATGAAAACCAATATCTTTTTTTTTTGAATGCTTAGCACCAATGTGGTCTGAAACATTTACAATAGTTATTTTTTTTATTTTATTGTATATTTTCTGCTTCATTTATAATACAGTCTTGTAATTGCTGCAGAGACAGAACTTGGTGCAATAGAATTCTCATTATAACATAAAATCAGAAACGTTAAGACGAAGTCAACAAACTGTATGAACAAAAGAAAGAAAATTAAGGAAACATTAATTGCTACACAGATTTGAACATATGTATATATTTACATATATACATAAAAGTGCAGTGGTATTTCAATACTTGGAACAGTCACAAAAGACAATCATAAATTAATACAGGACATTAAATAATACAAGGAAAAAAATAGTAAATTAATGTAGCCATGATAAATCCCTTGATGGCAAAAAAAAAAAAAATCTAAAAATGTAATTATTTGTTAGATTTATTGGTAATGGTATGTATGTGCAATCAGCCATATCTATAATGAAACCATAGATAAAAATTGAAAATGTCATATATGATGCAGTATGTAAGTGGGATCAAAGTGGTTCTAAAGTCTAAACCTTAATGCATTTCCTACATTAAGATATGAAAAGAAAAACCTCCCCACTACTTTACCCCCCATTCCTAAACACTGACTGCCATCACGGCTCCAGCACCGCTCCCCTCACTTCCTGGTCTCACAGGAGACACTGAGAGCAGCGGGAGCCATAGGCAAACAGTCAAACTCCTCTGACGAGGGAGCAGGGGCATGAATTGTTGGTGCTGTGTGTGTCTATGGACATACACAGCCCGTTTTGGGAACACGTGTGCAGCTGGCTTGCTAAGGAGGCACCTGAAGTAGGAGTAGTGGACAGGCCCAGCGAGGGACTTCCAGAAGAGCAGGTAAGTGACCTTTCTGTGCAATATCATTACACAGAGCAGGTAAGTATAACCTCTTTTTTTTTAAAAAGCCTTTAGTATCACTTTAACATGGTATTTTTTGTTTTTCCCAATAACATAGTTTTACTGTTTTTTTTTCTTTAAAGAAAAACTAAAGTCCTTAATGGAAAAACTGTGAGCAGGTAGACTCTTTATCACGGAAGAGACGCGCCAACTTACCTGCCTACTCGCAGTCTTCTTTAAAGTGTACACTGAGCTGCAAACGTGCAGCTCAGTTTACATTCTGGCACAGCGCCTGTGTATCGGGGATCACTGAACTCCTGCACATGCATGGGACTGACGTCATCCTGCACCAGCCAATCAAGGCGACCAAAGGCCGACACGCAGAAGAGGCTGGGAAGAAGATGCCAGCACTGGCAAGGGACCTCATGGCGGTCAGGCTGTTGAAGTATCGTGGACTTTAGCTGCACTTTAACAGGCCAAGCTGTCCAGAAAATAGCAGTTACAGGAGTTCAGACAAACCATATAACATTGACAGTGTGCTTACAACAACCCATGTTTGTTCATGCAGTTTACACCTTTTGTTCTGTATCTGCTTATTAAGTGTTGGGCTTTCATTTTTAGTCTTTTACTTACAGTGTAAGTTTACCTTTTCACAAAAAATTACCCACACAGGTAAGTACAGCAGAGACTAGGGGGGTGGTAATTAGTGTGCAGGGTGTTCACCTTCAGTTAATGAGCTGTCACTGCCCGCACAGCTGGTGTAGAGGTCCCGGAATCTGAAAGCCCCGTTCTTATTTCCCTTCTTTCCTTAGGGCTTCCAGGATGGATCTGAGCAATTCTGATTGGTCACATTCCGGTAGTTTTTTGACATGCCGGCACACTTTGACCAACCGGATTCGCTCTGATCTATCCCAGAAGCCCTAAGGGAAAAGAAGGAAGAAGAGTGGGACTTTCAATTCTCTGGACTGCTGCACCGACTGGATGGGCACTGACAGTTAATAACCTATGGAGGTAAGTGCAGTGGGGGCTGGGAAGAGAGGAAGTAGGGTATTAGTTCACCTTTGCATTTTTTGTGAAAAAGTGAACTTACACTTTAAAGTCCATTTAAAACTACAGATCCATCAAAGACCAACCTGTCCACGGGAGGACAAACAGGGCTGTGCGATTTCATTGCAAATCCTATTAATATATTAATTTATTCCCACTGCATACTTTCTTGGGCAAGGCATGGAGTAAGAGGGTGTTGTAGTGTAGTGCAAGCAGTTTATGGGCCCATTCATACCAACCCTGCTGGACTTTGTTGGGAAAAAAGCCTTTGTTTGTATGGGGCCTGTTCACACCAATGAGCTGAATGAGGTGAAAGTGAAAGTTAGTTTAAATAAATAAATGAAAAACCACAACATGCATCCCATGGTGGGTACATACCCTAAAGGGTATCAGCCTAGATGAGAACAAAGGTCGCCAGCACACCATGGATCTATTATTTATAGTCAAAATATTTATTAAAGCAACCATATCACAGTAAGCACAGTGACTAAATGGTTAGCACTTCCCTTTGGCAGTACTCGGGTTGTCGGTTCGAATCCCAACCATTGCACCACCTGCCTGAAGTTTTTATGTTCTCCCTGTGCCTGCGAGGGTTTCCTCCCACACGCCACAGATATGCTGGTAGGGTAATTGGCTCCTGTCTAAATTGTACCTAGTATGTGTATGTATGAATGTGATTTAGGGACCTTAGATTGTACACCCCTTGAGGGTTAAGGACTGATGCGAATGTACAATATACAGGCGTACCTCGGCTTACGAATTTAATGCGTTCTGCGGGACTTTTTGTATTGCGAAAAAATTTGTAAACCGAAAATGCAATTTCCGATAGGAATGCATTGAAAACCAATTAATCCGTTCTGGAGGTCAGAAAAAAGTAAAAAAAAAAAAAGTGTTTTATCTGTTCAAAACTCTTTATAGAGTGCACTTTAATTTTTAATGATGTACCCCTTCAGTATTTATGCCTTTAATTTGTAGATGCAGTGAAAACCAATTAAATCCATTCCGGAGGTCAGAAAAAAGTCAAAAAAGGTTTTATCTGTTCAAAACTCTTTATAAACTGCACTTAAAAAGGGCATAAATACTGTACAGGGACATGATTAACAAAAAAAATTCGTAAATGCATTGAAAACCAATTAATCCGTTCTGGAGGTCAGAAAAAAGTTAAAAAAAAGACTTTTCTCTGTTCAAAACTCTTTATAAAGTGCACTTTAAAAGGCATAAATACTGTACAGGGACATGATTAAAAATTAATTCGTAGATGCAGTGAAAACCAATTAATCCGTTCTGGAGGTCAACAAAAAGTCTGTTCAAAACTCTTTATAAAGTGCACTTTAAAAGGCATAAATACTGTACAGGGACATGATCAAAAATGAATTTGTAAATGCATTGAAAACCAATTAATCTGTTCGTATTGTGAAAAATTATTTTCAATGGATTTTCATTCGTAAACCGAAAATTACGTTAACCTAGGCATTCGTAAACTGATGTACGCCTGTATATGTAAATTTATGGTGCTATATAAGAACCTGTAATAATAATAATAATAAATCAAGACCTCTTTGACAGCCCTGCCAAACAAAGCAATCTCACATGGCCTCAAAACCTTGTGTAGAACATTTGTTGTGGATCCATGGAGCGTTGGTAACATATGATCTCATCTATTACAGGAAGTGAAACAAAATGGACTACTGACAGGACTGACAGGTGATAAAACTACGTTCTGCTGCGTTATTGCGATGCAGATTGCCTCATATATGTTTTTTTTTTTCATTTATTATATCATTACCTGGATTTATTGCATTAACTGGATTTTGGTTCCAGCAGCAGTTTTCAGAAAGGATCATTTATTTCTCCCAGGTCTGTTTGTTAAAGCTGGGCAAGTCAAAGTGTATTTAGGGCAATTCACACCTCCTCTACCCCCCCATGTGATAATACTCCGACTTAACTCTTGGCCACTCAGGCACCATTTGATGTATTGGGGAAAGATGGGGGGGGGGAGTCACACTGTCCCCCCAGTACTGGTTATATGTTGAGGGGCATAGGGGTGATTCAAGGTGGGAGGAAAGTAAGCTCAGTCTGCTGAAAGTCCCTCCTACCCATTACTTCGCCCATTATGGACAGAGGACGGGTAGGCTATAAAGTGTATACAACAATTTGGCTGGTGGCATCATCTCGGCACTTGCAATTGATTTGCACCCTATAGACCTGTAATAGTGGTCAATAAATGGCAGACTGTGGTCCGTGAACGGCCCCAGAAGTGCTACCACCTGGACTGCCAGCCTGCAATGACAGATCCGTCACTGAGCAGGGCGGTCATCACTGCAACATGACATCATGTGTGTGCCCCGCCCTTTCAGCTCTCTGTCTCTCCGGCTCCGGCTCCCTGTCTGTACACAAGTGTCCAGCAAGGATCCCGGCACAGCTCCTGTCTGCCCTCAGGATAGGGTGTAGTCTTACAGGGGCACTCTGATGGGCACATTGAATATTAAGGGCCACTCTGATGGGCACAACATAGAATGTGCCCATCAGAGTGCCCCTTAATATAAATGTGCCCATCTGAGTACCCCTTAACATAAAATGTGCCCATCAGAGTGCCCCTTAACATAAAATGTGTCCATAAGCGTGCCCCTTAACATTCAATGTGCCCATCAGAGTGCCCCTTAACATAAAATGGGCCCATCAGAGTGCAGCTTAACATAAAATGTGCCCATTAGAGTGCCCCTTAACATTCAATGTGCCCATCAGAGTTTCCCTTAACATAAAATGTGCTCATTAGAGTGCCCCTTAACATTCAATGTGCCCATCAGAGTTTCCCTTAACATAAAATGTGCCCATTAGAGTGCCCCTTAACATAAAATGGGCCCATCAGAGTGTCCCTTAACATTCAATGTGCCCATCAGAGTGCCCCTTAATATAATATGGGCCCAACAGCATGCCCCTGTTTTATGTTAAGGGGCACTCTGGTCGGCCCATTATATATTAAGGGGCACGCTGATGGGCTCATTTATATTAAGGGGCACTCTGATGGGCCCATTTTATGTTAAGGGGGCACAAATGGGCACATACTGTAGAAAGGGGAACTCTGATGGGAACATGTGATGGAAAGGGGCATTCTGATGGGGAATATGAGATAAAGGGGTACTCTGATGGGGAAATATGATGGGGATACCTGATGTAAAGGGGCACTCTGATGGGGGCAACTGATGTAAAGGGGCACTCTGATGGGGGCAACTGATGTAAAGGGGCACTCTGATGGGCACACCTCATGTAATTGGAATACATGATGTAAAGTTGCACTCTGATGGCGACACCTAATGTAAAGGGGCACACTGATGGGCACATCCTATTCAGACCTCAGCCAGAAGAAAATTTTAGTGACTGGACCTCCTTGAATTTTAATTCAATACCCCTGCTATAGACAATGCGATGAGCAGTGTGGAGTGGTATTTGGAAAAAGAGCTAAAATCCAGATGTCCTGTTGTGAATGCATCCATCCATACAAAGTGCTCAGCTACATTGCACTTGTCTCACACCTTCTACAAAATGTAGAACAAAAACATGAGTAGGAAGAAAAGCCTCCAGAGGATAGCTAAGGTGAGTGGGCAAAGCTGGGAACTCAAAGTGCAGAGATCTAATCTAAGAGGTAAGAAAAGACTAAGTGATTTAAACTACTGTCATCCACCTAAAAATGATCAGTTGTAGATGGAAGGAATGCTCAATATAAAATGGGGTATAAAAAAATGAACATGGGAGAGGTTTCATCTGTAGCTTCACTGCAAAACATTACTGCGATCAGACTAGGAGTAGATTTGTAAGATATGTTTGTTTTAATTAAAGTGTTACTAAACCCAGGACCCTGCATTCACTATATCTGGTTTCCCAGGACCCCGCATTCACTATATCCGGTCTTCCAGGACCCTGCATTCACTATATCCGGTCTCCCAGGACCCTGCATTCGCTATATCCGGTCTCCCAGGACCCTGCATTCACTCATTCACTATATCTGGTCTCCCCGGACCCTGCATTCGCTATATCCGGTCTCCCCGGACCCTGCATTCGCTATATCCGGTCTCCCAGGACCCTGCATTCGCTATATCCGGTCTCCCAGGACCCTGCATTCGCTATATCCGGTCTCCACGGACCCTGCATTCCCTATATCAGGTCTCCACGGACCCTGCATTCACTATATCAGGTCTCCCCGGACCCTGCATTCACTATATCCGGTCTCCCAGGACCACGCATTCACTATATCAGGTCTCCCAGGACCCCGCATTCACTATATCCGGTCTCCCAGGATCCCGCATTCACAATATCTGGTCTCCCAGGACCCCGCATTCACTATATCCGATCTCCCAGGATCCTGCATTCACTATATGTGGTCTCCCAGGACCCTGCATTCAATTTATCTGGTCTCCCTGGACCCTGCATTCACTATATGTGGTCTCCCATGACCCTGCATTCGCTATATCTGGTCTCCCAGGACCCTGCATTCGCTATATCCGGTCTCCCAGGACCCCGCATTCACTATATCAGGTCTCCCAGGACCCCGCATTCACTATATCCGGTCTCCCAGGATCCCGCATTCACAATATCCGGTCTCCCAGGACCCCGCATTCACTATATCCGATCTCCCAGGATCCTGCATTCACTATATGTGGTCTCCTAGGACCCTGCATTCAATTTTATCTGGTCTCCCTGGACCCTGCATTCACTATATGTGGTCTCCCATGACCCTGCATTTGCTATATCTGGTCTCCCAGGACCCTGCATTCGCTATATCCGGTCTCCCAGGACCCTGCATTCGCTATATCCGGTCTCCCAGGACCCTGCATTCGCTATATCCGGTCTCCCAGGACCCTGCATTCGCTATATCCGGTCTCCCTGGACCCTGCATTCGCTATATCCGGTCTCCCAGGACCCTGCATTCGCTATATCCGGTCTCCCAGGACCCTGCATTCGCTATATCCGGTCTCCACGGACCCTGCATTCACTATATCAGGTCTCCACGGACCCTGCATTCACTATATCCGGTCTCCCAGGACCCCACATTCACTATATCAGGTCTCCCAGGACCCCGCATTCACTATATCTGGTCTCCCAGGATCCCGCATTCACAATATCCGGTCTCCCAGGACCCCGCATTCACTATATCCGATCTCCCAGGATCCTGCATTCACTATATGTGGTCTCCCAGGACCCTGCATTCAATTTATCTGGTCTCCCTGGACCCTGCATTCACTATATGTGGTCTCCCATGACCCTGCATTCACTATATCTGGTCTCCCAGGACCCTGCATTCACTATATCCGGTCTCCCCGGACCCTGCATTCACTATATCTGGTCTCCCCGGACCCTGCATTCACTATATCTGGTCTCCCACAGTACACACAATATGGAAATGCAATTATTTTAGTAAATATAAACTGCTAAATACCTTTTCTCATCAGCAGTTAGAGCAGTCTTGTGACTTCAGCAGAGCACTGGTTAAAGCTTGTAGGAGGAGTTTTCTTTCTGCTCTAGGAGGATGTGAAACCTCTGACCCTCTGTCTGGACAGTGCTGATTGGCCCTGTGCTGATCACATGCACCCTCCCAAGAAAAAAAAAAAAAAACCTCTATAGCAATACACACCAAACTGAGCATGTGCATGTGGCTACGGATTCAGTCTGTCTCAGGTGGTCATTTCAACAAGAGGAGGGGCAGAGAAGACAGTATCAAACAGTCTTTTCACACAATGCGGAGGATTAACCCCTTAGGTACCACAGTGAGTATAACAGGCATGCTTTACTGCATATACAGACTGATTTTACTGTTGTGGGTTTAGTAACACTTTAATGCAAGGCGGAAGCAAAATCTTACTGCCAACAATAGAGGCCTAAAGCTGCCTGTATCTCAGCAAGTCTGTTCGCCAGACCCAAGCAACATGGAAATTCTAAGAAATCAGCACACAATTGTTTATTGACTGAAGGAGTATAGGCTGTTCATGTAGCTTAGTAATTGACGTCAATCTGTGCTGAATTCAATCATTCATTCCTGTTTAATCAACCATCCAATTTGTTTTCATTTTCCTTGGACATGATTGTGTATTCTTTACAAAGTGAGATTTCACTTAGCTTCACCTCATTCACTAAAGCCGCATGCAAACGTTGGCCAAGTCACACCCTATTGTCCCCTATAAGAGCGGTCATATCGGCGCTGTTCTGACTTGGTCGGAGCCGCACCGATGAAGTTAGAAAAAAATTAGTTCCTGCACTGCTTTTGCTGATTTGGGGTGCGGCTTGCATTGATATCTGTGCATGAAGTCACACAGATGCAGGGGCGGACTGACAACTCATGGTGCCCCAAGGCAATAAAGGATCATGGGGCCCCTGTTTCCTTGCCCAAACTCAAAAAAGCCTATGAAAAAGGTACCAGGGGCATCTCATGGGGCCCCCTACTGACCCCCAAGTTTTCCAAATGGTCAGTCCGCCCCTGCACAGAAGTCTATGAAGTCACACTTAAAGTCGCACTGCCATCCAAATTTGAAATCACTCATCTTCAAGTGAGGTCGCACAATTTTAAAGTCGGATCTAGCGTGAACCAGGGCTTAAGGTTTTTTTTTAAGTGATGCCATAGTGAGATCACAACTTTGCTTTACCCTAGGTTCACACCTAAGCGTTCTCTGCAGCGTTTTGCAGAAACGCAGTACAGTCCATTTAACATGATTTCATATGGGACAGGTTCACACTTGTGCGTTTTGAATGCAAAAGTTGCGTTTTTGGTTCTATAGACTTCAATGGAAACGCTGCGGAAAAGCATTTATTGCTTTTTTGCTATGTTTTTGTCGCCTTTTGCATTTTAAATCTGCCTAGCAGCAAGAAAAAAAAAAAGAAAAGCAAAAACGCATCAAAAATGCGTAAAAAACACAAGTGAAAAAACCGCAAAATGCAATGCATAAGCGGCTCAAAGGCAACCTGCATAGGTGTGAAGGTAGCCTTACATATGTATGAATTAGTAAATACAAAGAAACAACACATTGATTCATGGCATTAACTCAATGACACTTGCAGACTATCTGCAAGTGTCAATTTACACAGGAACAGCTGCATTTCAAAAGCCATTCCTGCTGCACAATGTTAAGTAATTCCTGGCTGTCGTTGTGACAGCTGGTATTTGCCGGTAATACCGGTGGGGGGGAGTGGCAGCAGAGGGAGAGGCATTTTTTGGTATGTATCTCTTCCATTCAAAACCCAAGAGCTAAGCTTACCAGACTTTAGATATAGTGGCCATGTATCCCAGGCTCTGCTTGCCCGTCTGCAGACCCGGGACCAACATAGCGGGTGACCCCTGTAGAGGGGAGGGAGCAGAGCGGACACAAGTCCACTTTCCTCCCCTCCTTGTTGCTGACCTGGAAAGCAACCTGTTTGATGTCACTTCTGGGTGTGCCTCTCTAGTGTCCCCAGCCATCATACCGAGAGCGAATGTAATGCAATGCAATGTGCATTGCATTACATTCAATGGAGCACAGGGGAGACAAGCAGGATCTTTTAGACCTTGGATGTCTCATTAAAGAGAACCTGTCACCTAATGGCGGCGAACACATACAGGCAGACATGTTTGATGTCTGGCCTCTGTGACAACCATTTTTCCCTCCACTGATACAGTGGAGGAGTGAGCATTGTCTTTTTAGGACAAGAACTGTGATATTCATGGGATCACAAAGTGAAAATAAAAGAAATAAAAAAAATTAAAAACAAAGAAACTTAATCTGAATGGTAAACTGCAACTAATCAAATTTAGTTTTTTTGTGTTTAGATATTGTAGCACAGGATGCAGGGTGGGGGTTTACCTATTCCTTGGTGTTATCGATCGATGTAGGAGCTCCTTGTTGGGGTTAGACATCAGCAGTGTATACAGCTGCTAGACCTGCTAGCTTTGATCTGGAGTATTATGCTGTCTGTACATGTATGCCAGTGTTACTTTATATTTGAACATAGTCAGGTTGGATAAAGACCAGGGGCGGACTGACCATTTGGAAACTCGGGCACTGCCCGAGGGTCTCGAATCAGTAGGGGGCCCCATGAGATGCCCCTGGTACCTTTTTCATAGGCTTTTTTAAGTTTGGGAAGGACACAGGGGCCCCATGATCCCCTATTGCCCGGGGGCCCCATGAGTTGTCAGTCCGCCCCTGATAAAGACCTATGTCCATTGACGTTCACCAAAAAACTACCTTGCATTCCAGGGACTCCAAACCCACAGCTTCATATCCAAAAAAAAATACATTACTTTGACAGATCAATCACTGTCAAAGATTTCTTGTTGATGAATATTTTGCAGTGAAGTCGAACAGATGTATAAAGGTAAAATAAAAAAAACTAAATGAAAAAAAAAAAAAAAAAAAAAAAATCAATCAATCTTTATATTTATCGATTCTCTATGCATAAGAAAAAAAAGCATATTAAAAACTCTGTATATCTCAAGCAATCAGACTTTTTTTTTTTTTTTTGCAAAACAATAATCTATATATTCTGTTTCCCTTAACTATAAAACATATATTAAATATTTTTTTTTATGAAAAGATACTACCTTCAATTTAAACATCACATTCAGTCAGCTTCCAGACAATTTCCGTATGAAATGTCTCACAAAGTTCATTACATATGTCAATTATTCGAGCTTTTTTTTTTTTTTTAAAGCATTCAACTTTTGAACCTATAATTAAATAAATACATAAATTAATATTAAACATGTTATACAGAATGACAAAAAATAAATAACTGTATAAATAAACATGAAACGTCTACATTTTTGTTACCCAGGTTTTTAAAAATTAGTTTTTGTGTAGGCTGTATTTTTGTTCATGTCTTTCACCTGTAACTGCATAAAGAAACAGCAAAAATAATAATTGAAAAAACAAACAAAAAAAATAAAATAAAAAACACAAAATTATCTGTAAACACGATTCAACATTGAACACAAAGACAACAAGAAACAAACTCTTTATAAATGATATTTCTTAGATTTATCATGCTGTCCATTTTTTTTAAGGTTTTCTTTTTTTTATTGGGTAAACGGGTTTGTTTTTAAATAACCAATTTGTTAAAAGCAGAACAGTCTTCTGGTATTTTTATGTCGCTAGATTCAGCGACTATTTTTGAACGGAATGCATTGAGATATTTGTTTGTATGTGTATCACAGAAGAAGCTAAAGGCTGGTCTAAGATATACTCATTTTGTCAACTCAGGCATCAAGCTCAGCTAGAACAATGAAAAGTCAGTTCCGTTCTTGTGTTGTGTTCCATGCCAACAGCCAATAAGAAAAACCTGAAGAATGCGATGTTGGATGGGCAAGACTTTGAGGAAAAAAATGTATTTAGTGTTGGTAAATTCCTGTAATGACAGAGGGATTGGCAAGTACTTGTTACCCAAACATAGCTGGTCCCACCACAGCGGTTATGAACTTGTTCCAATCTTGCTGTTATCCATTGAAGGTCATGCATCCATTGTCTCCTTCCTGTTGTACATTCATTGAAATTTCATGGACCGCAAAAAATTTAATTACAAGATAACAAAATTTTGAAAAAAATAAAGATCCCAAAAAAAATTAAGGTAATTCTTGGAGTTCCCTCTAATTATTTATTGTTAATTGCTATATTATAATTTCTCCTTCGAAGGTATCCAGATGAAAGGACCAGACTGTTCTTCAATTACCAGTTTGCATGTGTTATATATGTCATCCAAAGTGTCTCCTTGGACGATTGCTGTAAAAGACAAAATGTTATTTTTATTGTTTGCAAAATAAAAAAACCTTATTTCACATGCTCTAAAGCAGTGTTTCTCAACCTTTTTTTCAGTCAAGGCACCCTTTAAAATTATGGACAGTCTTGAGGCACCCTTGAAAATTATGGACAGTCCCGAGTCACCCTTTAAAATTATGGACAGTCTTGAGGCACCCTTGAAAATTATGGACAGTCCCGAGGCACCTTTATAATAATTTTAAAGGGTGCCTCGGGACTGTCCATAATTGTAAAGGGTGCCTTGGGACTGTCCATAATTTTAGACAGTCCCAAGGCACCCTTTAAAATTATGGACAGTCCCGAGGCACCCTTTAAAATTATGGACAGTCCCGAGGCACCCTTTAAAGTTATGGACAGTCCCGAGTCACCCTTTAAAATTATGGACAGTCCCGAGGCACCCTTTAAAATTATGGACAGTCCCGAGGCACCCTTTAAAATTATGGACAGTCCCGAGGCACCCTTTAAAGTTATGGACAGTCCCGAGTCACCCTTTAAAATTATGGACAGTCCCGAGACACCCTTTAAAATTATGGACAGTCCCGAGTCACCCTTTAAAAATTATGGACAGTCCCGAGACACCCTTTAAAATTATGGACAGTCCCGAGGCACCCTTTAAAATTATGGACAGTCCCGAGGCACCCTTTAAAGTTATGGACAGTCCCGAGGCACCCTTTAAAATTATGGACAGTCCCGAGGCACCCTTTAAAATTATGGACAGTCCCGAGTCACCCTTTAAAATTATGGACAGTCCAGAGGAACCCTTTAAAATTATGGACAGTCCGAGGTCACCCTTTAAAATTATGGACAGTCCCGAGTCACCCGATGGCACCCTTTAAAATTATGGACAGTCCAGAGGAACCCTTTAAAATTATGGACAGTCCCGAGGCACCCTTTAAAATTATAGACAGTCCCGAGGCACCCTTTAAAATTATGGACAGTCCCGAGGCACCCTTTAAAATTATGGACAGTCCCGAGGCACCCTTTAAAATTATGGACAGTCTTGAGGCACCCTTTAAAATTATGGACAGTCCCGAGGCACCCTTTAAAACTATAGACAGTCCCGAGGCACCCTTTAAAATTGTGGACAGTCTTGAGGCCCCCCCCTTCTAAAATGGGGTGCCTCTAGACTGTCCATAATTTTAAAAGGACACCCCATTCTAAAATTTAAAAAAATATTGTAATAGTTTTATATAACGCAGCAACCTCCACACATGTAGGACACCCAACATTAGAGGCGATTTATTCTTCCAAAGCAAATACACTTTTGCGCACTGGTACTAGTATTCTATTGTTTCTCTTCTCCCTCAGTTTTCAAGGGGACAAACTAGGATGCTGTGCAAGCAGATGACATCCTCCTTATCAACTGATGATGTCATTGGTTGTCAGGACGCTGGCGGCTAGAAGGTCATAATGGTGCACAATGAATACCTGTGGCTTTGTGTAACTAAAAGGCAGGTTTGTTCCACCCGCTGGCTTGCATACAAGTTTTGGGCAATTTTTAGACATTTTGCCATGGCACCCCTGAAGAAGCCTCAAGGCACCCTGGTTGAGAAAGGGTGCTCTAAAGCATGTGTGTCAAACACAAGGCCCGCAGGCCAAATACAGCCCTCCAGGCCATTTCATGTGGCCCTTGTACCTTTCTTGCAGCTGCGGAACCCCCCTCGCCTTCGCCCCCACCTTGTCCGCAGCAGAAAGGAGAACAGAACTTCTCCTACAGATCCTATGCCTCTCTGTGCAACCACAGCACCCCTTCATTTCCGCCTTCCCTGGTCTCAGCATTCAGCAGACTCCAGCCCTCCTCTGGTCCTCCTCCAGACCCTGCACTTTCTGTTTCCCAGCTCCAACCCCAGCTTCTCTGGGCAGCAGCACAAGGTAAGGAGGGATGCACTTTGACATAAAGGAAGGTGGTGGGGGAGCTCTTGAAATCTGATGTAAAGGGGGGGGGGTGCTCTAGACATCTAGTCTCACAGATACAACCAGCCCTTTGAGGGCAACCATAATGCTGATGTGGCCCACAATGAAATTGAGTTTGCCACCCCTGCTCTAAAGATTAAATGGATGATGTGTGGATTTTAAAAGGGTACAAACTGGGCAATGAAATTAAGAAGAAGTATGGGATGTCTCCTTTAATGGAAGCTAGATAAGATCTTCTACTTGGTTTAGAGAACACATGACTGAGAGGTGATCTAATTAATTCGACTCTGTCATTGAAATAAACCGTATGCCTTTTTTCTTTGTAAATATCAGATTTGACGTAGCACATCCTGCAGCAAGAATTAAATAAAAATTCGAGTCTGGTATGGATTTTAAGAGGGATATTCGCTCAAAAAAAAATACATAGGGCCCCCTTTAAAATCCATACCAGATTCAGGCATGCAGCCTGGCTGACCAGGTCACATGCTCTCAACATGAGGAATGCCTTGCCAGGGGAAACCCCACTGGCAAAGCACCTTGTCTGCAGGCTGATTAGAACAAGGGCCTCTTTCCCATAACCCTGACCTAGTGATTGTGAGGGTCTGCAGGCAAAGGGCTAATTGGAATCTAGAAGCCCCCTTTTAAAAATAAAAAAGGGCCCCCAGATACCACCCCACCTCCTTTGTGAAGGAGTAAGGGGTACATAGTACCCCTACTAGTGCACAAAAAAATAACCTAGAAATAAAGACAACCAAACAATTGACAAGTCAATTATTAAAAAAATAACCGCCATCGAAAAATGTCCCTCGTCAACCCACTGTCAATCACTCTGCTGCCCCCTGACTAGCCTAAATTAAAAACCTGACAGACACAGTGCACATGACCGATCCCAACAGTACTTCTGACAAATGGCAGCTCTCTGAGCTGTCACCAGCTATATAGGGGAAAAAGCAGGCATAGTAGTAACATCATTGACCAAATATGTCCATGGCCCATATCTGGTTAATGTCATTGCCCAAATGTGGCCAGTGACCATATCTGGACAGTGATATCACTACTATTCCTGCCCTTTCTCTATGTGGATAGGGATCTCGGCCACGGAAGCCAATGTGCCAGTGATGGCAGTGGTTGTTAGGGGCCAACACCCGCTGCTTCCTTAGCAACCACTGACAGTACTTCTGACAAATGGCAGCTCTCCGAGCTGTCACCAGCTATATAGGGGAAAAAGCGGGCATAGCAGTAACATCATTGACCAAATGTGTTCATAGTCATATCTGGTTAATGTCATTGCCCAAATGTGGCCAGTGATATCACTACTATTCCTGCGCTTTGTCTATGTGGATAGGGATCTCGATCCATGGAAGCCAATGTGCCAGTGATGGCAACGGTTGTTAGGGCCAACACCCACTGTTTCCTTAGCAACCACTGACAGAAGGAAGCTGTCATATATAGAAGTGGTAGAAATACTGATTATATATATGATGCACAGCTCCCACCAAACAGGGGGCCACATGGGCAAAAGTCAGACCGAACAGTTGGCTAATCCCTACTGGTGACTAGTCCTTTGCTCTCTTACTGCCTTTTTCTGGGCACCACTTCCAGCACATGTGCTTAAGGTGTTGATAGGAAAAACTGCCCATGACAACCATCTAGCTTCTCTATATTTTACGTAAAGACCACATTCTGCCTATAGCGCTCTCCGGTGACGTGCAGAAGAGGGGTCACCATAAAGACAACTGTCTGTGGCCAAAGGAAGGTGAGTAGGTACTGCTGGGCAGATGGTAATCCCCTGCATGGAGCTAGAGTTCCACTTAATGAATACCTTGAAAGACTCTGGGATATTTGTCTGCAATGCTTTAACCCTTTCACTGCCATGTCCATACATCGTATGGACCGGACAACGGTGGTGGGGTGGGGTTTACATACAATCCTGGAGCCACCGGGATTGCATGTAAAACGGAAAAGCAGACTCCTGCCTGTCAGGGGAAAGCTTTCGGGTGATTGCTCTGCCACCCGATTGCTTCCTCGCACCTCCAGTAACTGCCTTGCTCCCCTGTCATGTATCCCATCTGTGGGCCCGGGACCGACATAGTGGGTTCCGCTGACCTCCCCTTCTTGATACTGACCCAGAAAGCGACGTGTATGACATCACCTCCGGGTCCCTGTATCACATTCCCAGGCTAGGATAACCAGGAATGAATGTATTGCAATGCCATCTGTATTGCATTACATTCAGTGGGGAACAGGGGAGACATTCAGGGTCTTTTAGACCCTGCATGTCTCATTAACTGCTTCCCGACCATCCTATCGCGGAACTACTGCTACAGGGTGGCAGGGTTGCACAAAATCACGTATATATACATGATTTCGCATTTCTGGGCAGGGAGTGCGCCCGTACTGCTCTATCTGCGCCGCCATTGGCAGGTACAGCTGTCAATCACCGGGTTCCGGCCGGAGATTCCCTGTCGGCACCCGCCGTTCGCCGAGGAACAATGACAGAGGAGAGGTCTGTATGTAAACAACACAAGTCTCTCCCATGTCAGCACCAGCATTCTGCTTTGTATTGATCTGCATAGCAGAGCAATACAAAGCAGCATGCTTACATGGTAAAAAAAAACACACAGCACACATAGTAAAACAGCACACAGTTTTGATCGCCCCAGGTGTTAACCCCTTCCTGTCAATGTATAGTGTCAGTGCTTTTTATTAGCACTGATCACTGTATTAGTGTCACTGGGGATGTCAGTGACAGTTAGTTCCCCCCAGTGTCAGAATGCCCACTGCAGTCCCGCTATAAATCGCTGATTGCCGCCATTACTAGTATTAAAAAAAAAAAATTCCAGTATATATACCGCCATTTGTAGACGCTATAACTTTCGTGTAAACCAATTAATTGATTTTTTTTTTTTTGTTAGCAAAGACATGTAGAACACTACATTTTGGCCAAAATTTATGATGAAATTAGATTTTTATATTTTTTTTACTGGATATGTTTTATAGCAAAAAGTCAAAAATATTGTTTTTTTTTTCAAAATTGTCTGTCTTTTTTTTTTTTATAGCACAAAAAAATAAAAACACAGGTGATCGAATACCAGCAAAAGAAAGTTCCATTTGTGGGAACAAAAGGATGTAAATTTCATTTGGGTGCAGCGTTGCATGACCGTGCAATTGTCAGTTAAAGTAACGCAGCCTAGTATCACAAAAAACATGGCCTGGTCAGGATGGGGGGGGGGGGGGGGGGGGGGGGGGGGTAAATCCTCTGGATGGCAGAGAACCTGTCACCCAATAATCAACACGTAGGGGAATTTTTTTCTCCTGTGTGATGAAAAAAAATTAAGCAAAAACACACATTTTTTTTTAGTTACAAAAAATTTAAGTTACAGCTACACACATAAAATCTACACCCCCCAATTGGAGAAATTTCCCTTCCTGTCCAATAACCAAAACAAGAAGTAACCACATACTAGCGCATTTTTTTTTTGAGATCCCCCCACCCCCATGTTTATGCACGTACAAACTTAAACGCACATGACAGGGGGAGCCTAGGCATGAAAGCATCAATTGCAATACAAGTTACAAATCGCCGTGCATGCTGGAGTGAGAGCAATAATTCTAAGACCTCCTCCATAACACCTAAATGATGACCTATAGGGGGCTTTTGTAGTGTCACCAATAGAAAGTATATAGATAATAGAATGATAGAAGTTTGTAGCCATTTCACGGGCGCACACAAATTTAATGTTTGACATATTGGGTATCTATTTAATCGGTGCAATCTCTTCTTTTATATGTTACCAACAATGTGGGAAATTTATTGCATTTGTTTGCCCTAAAATTCACTATAGTGCGTTTTTTACTGAAATGTTGAGTTTCCTAAACCTTTGCGGAAATATTGTGTATGTGACATAAAAAACTATTTTATTCTCTAGAATGTCTGCTTTCAAAATCTATAATGTTGGTGGGTTTTATGTAATCCACAGGCCTAAAATAATTTTTTTGAACGTGTGTGCAAAAAAATGCAAAAATGGTTTTGGCAGCGAATGGGCTAAGACAGGGGAGTCAAACTGGCGGCCCTCCAGCTGTTGTGTAACTACAAGTCCCATCATGCCTCTACCTTTGGGAGTCATGCTTGTAACTGTCAATCTTGCAATGCCTCATGGGACTTGTAGTTTGG